TCTAGCCGCTGTGTTGCGCCATCTCTAGGACCCCAACTAGGGAGTCATGAAAGATCGACACAGGCAAGCCCTTTTCAGCTTTCTTTCATACCACGACACCATGTCATACACTGACCACGTCTCCGATTTCTCCAACTAGTCTCGGAGTCGGCAAATAATGCACGACGAGGAATTCTCCGGGACGACATTCGTAGAACATGTCCAAGCCACCGAAGTCGTTGTTTCAAGATGGTGGCACCAATTGCATTATCGTCTCTGTGCCCGAACACACGATGCCGAACCTCTGCATTACTAACATGGTGTTGCCAATGGATGCCAGCAATCCTTTGGAGACAGCGAGGATCAAACGCAGAGAGTCGTCTAAAGTCCTCAACTCGGAGTGGTCAGGTTTCACAAGCATAGAGCAAAACTGCTCTCACGGATGCTTTGTAGATCCGACCTTTTACAGCCAGACTAACATCCCCCGATAGTTGGTACAGGAACGACGTGAACCCATTTTAAAGATAGGGACAACTATCGACTCATTCCATGACGTTGGTACACTCTCTAGTTCTCTGAGCTTTGTAACCAACTTCGTCAGTTCCAGTTGCTGGTTCCAGCTCATCAGAACGCTTAGACCACCAGGCTTCTCGGTCCTTACACAAGCTTTGCCCAATTTCATTACGTAACATCTTTCCTTTGCGGTCAAACTCACGGTCACCCGGAGTAGACTGACGGGATTCAATGTGTTGTGAGGAACCAGAAAAAAACCAGTACTTATAAGCAGGACGTTTCGCACACACAACCCACTGTACCCGCCATTTTCATGGCGTCATGCAATTGCAACCAATGCTCATCTATACTTTTTGGTGGAATGTTAGCTAGCCTAGAAACTAGTTCGGCTCGATACTTACTAGCCACAAAAGTTGCAACCAGCTTGCTAACATCAATCCTTTGGTGGTGGTCACTTTTTTGGCCGCTGAAAAGTAAGGTAAGATTGGCGCAGACCAAGGCATGGTCAGAGTCCAGATAGGTACTCCAAAAGGAGCGGCAGTCATGTACACAACCACGCCAGCGGTAGCTGATCGCGATATGATCAGTCTGAGTCCCGGCATGAGATGCAGACGGAGGACGCCAGGTGGCAAGTCGGCGATGACTGTGACGGAGGTTAGTGCTAGCCAGAAACAGGTTGCAGTCTGTGTGCAGTTGCAGGAACTGAATATTGTATTGTCACATCTCTTTGTAGCTAAACACGAAAACTCCAGCAGTCTGGGATCATAGAGCACCAAAGAAGTACATTAACCTTGTAAAAGCTCTCTACTCTAACACAACTGGTCGAGTGAGAGCTTATGTCATCAGAATTGATTACCTCAAGTGGTGTTCGTCAAGGCTGTCCACTCTCTCCTTTCTTGTTCAACTTTGTCATTGACGTGCTTTTAGAGATGACACTTTCCTCATCTAAATTTCCAGGAGTTGAACTTCTACCGGGAAATTCACTTTTTGACCTAGAATATGCCGATGACATAGTTTTATTTGGCGAAGACGCTGACAAAATGCAGAGTCTTCTGACCACTCTAAGCAACAATGCAAGCATGTTCGGGATGCGATTCTCCCCCTCGAAATGCAAAATGTTGCTTCAGGATTGGGTTGCATCGACACACGAACTAATTATAGGGAGTGAAGTAATTGAGCGTGTTGATCACTTCAGTTGTTTCCAAATGTTGTTCATTCTTTTGACGTCAGCTTTCGATTCCCTGCCCAGTGGGTTGATTGAACGTCCTATCTTCTGTTTCACTTCAGGATGTTAAATTAAGGCTTTCCTCGTGATATTATTTACGCCGATTACTCCCAATGGAGCCTGGACCGCCGACCAGCATTCTCCAACCCACTCTGTCCTGGGCCTCTTTTTCTAGTTCCATCCAATTCTTGTAGTGTCGAAGAAGCTTCCATAGTGTTGTCCTGTCCTCGCTATCAAATGCCTTTTCGTAGTCAATGAAGTTGATGTAGAGTGATGAATTCCATTCAATTGATTGTTCCACAATGATCCGTAGAGTTGCGATTTGGTCTGTACACGATCTATCCTTACGGAATCCTGACTGTTGGTTTCGAAGTTGGGCGTCTACGCAGTCCTTCATCCTGTTTAATAATACTCTGTTGAAGACTTTTCCCGGTATTGAGAGAAGAGTGATGCCCCTGTAGTTATTACACTTGCTGAGATCGCCTTTCTTCGGTATTTTGATCAGGAGTCCTTCTTCCCACTCTGTTGGTACTTGTTCCTTATCCCAAATCTTATTGAAGAGAATGTGGAGTATCCTTGCAGTTGCCGCTACGTCTGCTTTTAGTGCAGGGAAATACGCGCTCGTACTAGAGCATGATCTGAATCTAAGCATGTGCTCCAGAATGAGCGACAGTCTTCTATAGAGCCCCTCCATCGGTGGCTGATAGTGATGTGATTTATTTGGGTGCAACGTTGGGACGAATTAGGTGGTCGCCTTGTTAAAAGGTGTTTTTCCTTATGCTTAAAGTTAGTATTTGCAAGGAACAAGCGGTTATGTGAGCATAGCTGCAACAGATAGTTGCCATTATCTGTCCTTTGAGCCATGATGCTATAAGATTCACCCAGGTGTCTTTCCCTTTCGCTTAGTTTACCTACTTGAGCATTAAAGTCACCAGCCACTATCATTATATCAGAGCGCTTAGCTTTTCGGAGAAGGTTGGAAAGCTTTCTAAAAAAACTCATCTTTTATAGCATATGAGCTGCAGTCATTGGGAGAATAGGCAGAGACGATGAAGAGGCAACGACAAGTGTCCCTATCTTTTCGGATCCTTACTGTTCCGTTCAGTCGGACAGCGCACAAACGACTGTCTACTGGGACCCAGTCTGAGAGGGCTAGTTCTGCCCTAGGACTAAATGCTATACCTACGTCAGCGAGGCCACGAGAAGCAGCATCAGGTCTTTCAGGTACACGAAGTGTGAATCGAGTCGGTTCTTTATTTTGGCATGGTGAGGTCAAATGAATGACGCTACTCGGATCTTGTATGCGCGTTTCGGAGACGCAGCACACATCGATGGCGCGGGATTCTAAAGTCCTAGTTAAGGAAGCCTGCTGTCCTATTCGGTTCAGTGTTCGGACGTTGAAAGCTCCTACGTGTAGTTTAGAGCGTGGTTTCAGGAGACCGGGAATAGCGTTCCGCGTACTCGAATCGTTTGCCCTAGCGGTGCGAGTTGATAAAGAGACGTGATCAGGATTAGTCATGAAGATATGAGAGGTATTAGGAGGTTTAGAAAAGATTTGAATTTGACCAACTTGACCAACTTGTTACGCTTATGAGGGCTGATATCACTTCCCGGTTGCCTACACCGTGGAAGGGTATTTCTCGACCTTTAGGTGGCATTCGACTCTGTTGATCGTGAGGTTCTATGGCAGTGTTCGTCACTGAAAGGAGTACCAAAGAAGTACATTAACCTTGTAAAAGCTCTCTACTCTAACACAACTGGTCGAGTGAGAGCTTATGTCATCAGAATTGATTACCTCAAGTGGTGTTCGTCAAGGCTGTCCACTCTCTCCTTTCTTGTTCAACTTTGTCATTGACGTGCTTTTAGAGATGACACTTTCCTCATCTAAATTTCCAGGAGTTGAACTTCTACCGGGAGATTCACTTTTTGACCTAGAATATGCCGATGACATAGTTTTATTTGGCGAAGACGCTGACAAAATGCAGAGTCTTCTGACCACTCTAAGCAACAATGCAAGCATGTTCGGGATGCGATTCTCCCCCTCGAAATGCAAAATGTTGCTTCAGGATTGGGTTGCATCGACACCCGAACTAATGATAGGGAGTGAAGTAATTGAGCGTGTCGATCACTTCAGTTGTTTCCAAATGTTGTTCATTCTTTTGACGTCAGCTTTCGATTCCCTGCCCAGTGTGTTGATTGAACGTCCTATCTTCTGTTTCCCTTCAGGATGTTAAATTAAGGCTTTCCTCGTGATATTATTTACGCCGATTACTCCCAATGGAGCCTGGACCGCCGACCAGCATTCTCCAACCCACTCTGTCCTGGGCCTCTTTTTCTAGTTCCATCCAATTCTTGTTCATTTTTCTCATGTGTATCTCCATTTTCCAGTGTATTGTGTTATTCGATATTCCTCTCCTCTTTGGCCTTGAGGATTCCATGTGGGGGCTTGTCTTGTGACGCAGTTAGGTGCTTTCCTAAATGTGTGTCCTATCCACTTCCAGCGCTTCTTCCTGATTTCTTCCTCCACTGGGATCTGGTTTGTTCTCTCCCACAATACGTTGTTGCTAATAGTGTCCGGCCAACGGATCTGAAGTATTTTGCGTAGACAACTGTTAATAAACACCTGTATTTTCTGGATGACGGCTTTCGTAGTTCTCCTGGTTTCCGCCCCATACAGTAGAACTGTCTTGACATTTGTATTGAAAATCCTGACCTTGGTGTTGGTTGACAGTTGCTTTGAGTTCCAGATGTTCCTCAGTTGTAAATATGCTGCTCTTGCTTTGCCGATCCGCGCCTTCACATCTGCATCAGATCCACCATGTTCATCAATGATACTGCCCAAATATATAAGGTTTTTACATCTTCCAAATCTCCTCCGTCCATTGTGATTGGATTGGTGCATGCTGTGTTGTATCGGAGAGCCTTGCTCTTCACTTTGTGTATATTGAGACCTATTGCTGCTGAGGCTGCTGCTACAATGTTCGTCTTCTCCTGCATCTGTTGTTGCGTTTGGGATAGAAGATCCATACCGTCTGTGAAATCTAGATCGTCCAACTGCATCCTAGACGTCCACTGTATCCCGCGTTTTCCTTCAGATGTTGACGTCTTCATGATCCAGTCGATCACCAGGAGAAAGAGAAAGGGTGAGAGTAAGCAACCTTGCCTAACACCGGTCTTCACTTCAAACGACTTTGTCAACTGTCCTCCATGCACGATTTTGCAGTGTAATCCATCATATGAACTCTGTATGATATTGACTATCTTTTCAGGCACGCCGTAGTGTCGAAGAAGCTTCCATAGTGTTGTCCTGTCCACGCTATCAAATGCCTTTTCGTAGTCAATGAAGTTGATGTAGAGTGATGAATTCCATTCAATTGATTGTTCCACAATGATCCGTAGAGTTGCGATTTGGTCTGTACACGATCTATCCTTACGGAATCCTGACTGTTGGTTTCGAAGTTGGGCGTCTACGCAGTCCTTCATCCTGTTTAATAATACTCTGTTGAAGACTTTTCCCGGTATTGAGAGAAGAGTGATGCCCCTGTAGTTATTACACTTGCTGAGATCGCCTTTCTTCGGTATTTTGATCAGGAGTCCTTCTTCCCACTCTGTTGGTACTTGTTCCTTATCCCAAATCTTATTGAAGAGAATGTGGAGTATCCTTGCAGTTGCCGCTACGTCTGCTTTTAGTGCCTCTGCTGGAATGTAGTCTGGTCCTGCTGCTTTGCCACTCTTGATTTGTCTGATGGCCATGCTGATTTCTTCAATTGTTGGTGGGCCAACATCGATTGGGAGGTCTGTGGGTGCTGCTTCGATGTTGGGTGGGTTCAGTGGAGCTGGTCGATTCAAGAGTTCTTTGAAGTGTTCTACCCACCTGTTTCGTTGCTCTTCAATGTTAGTGATTACCTCGCCTTCCTTGCTTTTTACTGGTCGTTCTGGTTTGCGGGGATTTCCAGAGAGTTTCTTTGTTATGTCATACAGTTGTCTCATGTTTCCTTCTCTTGCAGCCTTTTCCACCGTCTTTGCTAGACCTTCCACATATTTACGTTTGTCGGTTCTGATGCTCTTCTTCACTTGTTTGTTTACTTCTGTGTATTCAGCTTGTGCCTTATTGTCTCCCCTTTCTTGGATCGTATTCATTGCATCAACAGTGATCCATTCCTTGTGGTCGTGCTTCTTGTTGTCCAGAACCTCATGACATTTTGAAGTGGTTGCCTCTTTTATCCTTTTCCAGTTGCTCTTCATAGCAGCTCCTCTCCATTGAGTAGATCATGAATGACCTGGAACCTATCACTGAGGACTATCTTGATGGCCAGCAAGTGATGATCTGATGCTATATCAGCTCCTCTCTTGGTTCCCGTATCCTTCATCGTCCTACTAAGCTTTGTGTTGATGCAGATATGGTCGATTTGGTTTTGCGTTGTGTGATCCGGTGAAGTCCATGTGGTTTTGTGAATGAGTTTGTGTGGGAATATGGTGCCGCCTACGACCAGTTTATTGAAAGCACATAGGTTTGCAAACCTCTCACCATTTTCGTTCCTTTCTCCCAGTCCTTGTCGTCCCATGATGTCTTCATATCCGGTGTTTTCCATTCCAAATTTAACATTTAGGTCTCCCATGATAATGATCAATTCCGTTGTTGGGCACTTCCCGACGATTGACTGCAGCCTATCGTAGAATTGATCTTTAATGTCTTCATTGTAATCGTTGGTAGGCGCATAGCATTGGGTGACGTTCATTGAAATGCCCTCTTTGTTTGTTTTGAGTGGAGCTTTAATGATCCTTGGTCCATGAGATTCCCATCCTATATGTGCATTTTGTGTTTGTTTGTATAGCATCAATGCAACTCCTTGTGTATGTGGAGCTTTTCTTCTTTATGACCAAAATATAACAGAACCTACCCTGACGTTAGTTGTTGTTGTCCATTGTGTTTCACTGATCCCAAGTACCTCTAGGTTGTATCTCCTCATTTCTGCAGCAATTTGGAAGGCTCTCCCGGTGTCCCACATTGTACGAACATTCCATGTACCTAAATAAATGGTCGCTCTGGTTGTCAGAATGGGCATTAGCGTCGTGGTTTCCGAAGGAACTCGGCTTTCACCATGAGACGTCATAACTCTTCTAAATGAAGACCTGATTCCCAGGGCAGAGTTTAAGTGGTTTGGATACTTTTTCTCTGGTTAGCGTTTTTTAGCAAGTTGGTTTTCTACGGGATGGGGTCGGTAATCCTATGCCCAACCCTCCTCCTTTACCCAGGCTGGCAGTAGCCTCAGAGGGGCTCCTGGCGGAGTTTTCCTCGTGTTGGAGTGTAATTATTCCCAAATTGTATGTCTTATCCACCTCCAACGTCTTTTCCTAACTTACTTTTCATCTGGAAGCTTGTTTGTCCGCCAGAATAGTAGATTGTTGCTAATAATATCCAGTCAATTTACTTGGAGTATCTTGTGTAGACAATTAGTCATAAATACCTGTACATTTTTTATGATTGTGGTAGTTCTTCACTTTTCCGCGCCGTAATATAGAACTGTCTTGACGTTTGTATTGAACGTTCTGACTTTGATGCAGGCTGAGGAAATTCCATCTTTGTTTTGCCAATCTTTGTCTTTACGTCTGCATCAGATCCTCCTTCTTCATCGATGATGCTTCCCAGTTATGTAAAACTTCCCGCCTGTTCCAGGACTTCTCCATCAAGTGTGTGGTAGTCGCTGTTGTTTTTCAGAATCTTGCTTTTTTTTTCACCAGACATGTTCAAGCCTACTGTTACAGCGGCTGCTGCCTTGCTGATTGTCTTCACCTTCATTTGTTGCTGTGTATGGGATAGGGGGCCTAAAATATCTGCGAAGTTCAAATCGTCTAGTTGCATGCAAGCTGTCTATTTTATTCCGTCCTTCTCCACAGCTATCATTGGTGGTTGTATCGCGCTAGATAATATTATCATCCGTTCCTTTGTTTAGAATGCTTTGATTTTTCTAGTTCCATAGAACTCCCATCTCATTTGTGCTTTTCGTGCCCATTTGGACAGCATAAGTGCAACTCCTTGTGTGTACGAAGCTTTTTCTTATCCATAATCAGAGTACAGCGGCGGCTCTCTCGAAGCTGGTTTTTTTTATCCAGATTGGGTCATATGAGTTTCACTTATTCCGATCATTTCCAAGTTGTATATCCTCGTTCCTTCAGCTATTTGACTGGTCCTCTCGGTCTTCCACATTGACCGGACATTCCATGTATCTACTAATTGTTGCTCTGATTGTTAGAGGGATATCGTGGCTTCCGAACAATCTCTACTCAATAGCGATCTCAAAACCACCTCATTTTTAGTAATGTTTTGCTCAAATATTTAGAAATTTTAAGTCTTTTCAACACTATTAGCGATATTTCAACATGTTCCGAATACTCTCCAAATCAAAAATGTTGCTTTAGGACTTCATCTTTTGGTTCTGGCTGTAGTAACCTAGGCCTATATAAACTCCTGCAAGGTCCTAATTTGTCTGTGATGGAATCTATTCTCTTGAGATTATTTGGCGTAAGTGACTGTGCATATCGCTACCATTTCTACTACGTTGACGGTAGTGGTTGGGCTTGCCTATCGTGATGAACCAATAGAGCCATACTGGCTGGGACAATCGTGATTGACTCTTTGATCCCCTTCCAGTTGCTCTCTACACTAGTTCCTACTCCACTGAGTAAGTCATGAAAGGCCTGGAACTTACTACCGAGGGCTAACTTGAATTTGTTAGTATCCTGAAGAAAGGTCGTATTGAACTTTTGTGATATTGTCCGCCCCATTGTCCTGTGCTTTTTGAGTTTCAATTCATCTTGACGACCAGCAAGTGATGGTCTGATGCTATATCAGCTCCTCTCTTGGTTCTCACGTCCTCTTTAGTCCTTCTGAACGTTTTGTTGATGCAAATATGGTCGATTTGGTTTTGCGTTGTGTGATCCGGTGAAGTCCATGTGGTTTTGTGAATGAGTTTGTGTGGGAATATGGTGCCGCCTACGACCAGTTTATTGAAAGCACATAGGTTTGCAAACCTCTCACCATTTTCGTTCCTTTCTCCCAGTCCTTGTCGTCCCATGATGTCTTCATATCCGGTGTTTTCCATTCCAAATTTAACATTTAGGTCTCCCATGATAATGATCAATTCCGTTGTTGGGCACTTCCCGACGATTGACTGCAGCCTATCGTAGAATTGATCTTTAATGTCTTCATTGTAATCGTTGGTAGGCGCATAGCATTGGGTGACGTTCATTGAAATGCCCTCTTTGTTTGTTTTGAGTGGAGCTTTAATGATCCTTGGTCCATGAGATTCCCATCCTATATGTGCATTTTGTGTTTGTTTGTATAGCATCAATGCAACTCCTTGTGTATGTGGAGCTTTTCTTCTTTATGACCAAAATATAACAGAACCTACCCTGACGTTAGTTGTTGTTGTCCATTGTGTTTCACTGATCCCAAGTACCTCTAGGTTGTATCTCCTCATTTCTGCAGCAATTTGGAAGGCTCTCCCGGTGTCCCACATTGTACGAACATTCCATGTACCTAAATAAATGGTCGCTCTGGTTGTCAGAATGGGCATTAGCGTCGTGGTTTCCGAAGGAACTCGGCTTTCACCATGAGACGTCATAACTCTTCTAAATGAAGACCTGATTCCCAGGGCAGAGTTTAAGTGGTTTGGATACTTTTTCTCTGGTTAGCGTTTTTTAGCAAGTTGGTTTTCTACGGGATGGGGTCGGTAATCCTATGCCCAACCCTCCTCCTTTACCCAGGCTGGCAGTAGCCTCAGAGGGGCTCCTGGCGGAGTTTTCCTCGTGTTGGAGTGTAATTATTCCCAAATTGTATGTCTTATCCACCTCCAACGTCTTTTCCTAACTTACTTTTCATCTGGAAGCTTGTTTGTCCGCCAGAATAGTAGATTGTTGCTAATAATATCCAGTCAATTTACTTGGAGTATCTTGTGTAGACAATTAGTCATAAATACCTGTACATTTTTTATGATTGTGGTAGTTCTTCACTTTTCCGCGCCGTAATATAGAACTGTCTTGACGTTTGTATTGAACGTTCTGACTTTGATGCAGGCTGAGGAAATTCCATCTTTGTTTTGCCAATCTTTGTCTTTACGTCTGCATCAGATCCTCCTTCTTCATCGATGATGCTTCCCAGTTATGTAAAACTTCCCGCCTGTTCCAGGACTTCTCCATCAAGTGTGTGGTAGTCGCTGTTGTTTTTCAGAATCTTGCTTTTTTTTCACCAGACATGTTCAAGCCTACTGTTACAGCGGCTGCTGCCTTGCTGATTGTCTTCACCTTCATTTGTTGCTGTGTATGGGATAGGGGGCCTAAAATATCTGCGAAGTTCAAATCGTCTAGTTGCATGCAAGCTGTCTATTTTATTCCGTCCTTCTCCACAGCTATCATTGGTGGTTGTATCGCGCTAGATAATATTATCATCCGTTCCTTTGTTTAGAATGCTTTGATTTTTCTAGTTCCATAGAACTCCCATCTCATTTGTGCTTTTCGTGCCCATTTGGACAGCATAAGTGCAACTCCTTGTGTGTACGAAGCTTTTTCTTATCCATAATCAGAGTACAGCGGCGGCTCTCTCGAAGCTGGTTTTTTTTATCCAGATTGGGTCATATGAGTTTCACTTATTCCGATCATTTCCAAGTTGTATATCCTCGTTCCTTCAGCTATTTGACTGGTCCTCTCGGTCTTCCACATTGACCGGACATTCCATGTATCTACTAATTGTTGCTCTGATTGTTAGAGGGATATCGTGGCTTCCGAACAATCTCTACTCAATAGCGATCTCAAAACCACCTCATTTTTAGTAATGTTTTGCTCAAATATTTAGAAATTTTAAGTCTTTTCAACACTATTAGCGATATTTCAACATGTTCCGAATACTCTCCAAATCAAAAATGTTGCTTTAGGACTTCATCTTTTGGCTCTGGCTGTAGTAACCTAGGCCTATATAAACTCCTGCAAGGTCCTAATTTGTCTGTGATGGAATCTATTCTCTTGAGATTATTTGGCGTAAGTGACTGTGCATATCGCTACCATTTCTACTACGTTGACGGTAGTGGTTGGGCTTGCCTATCGTGATGAACCAATAGAGCCATACTGGCTGGGACAATCGTGATTGACTCTTTGATCCCCTTCCAGTTGCTCTCTACACTAGTTCCTACTCCACTGAGTAAGTCATGAAAGGCCTGGAACTTACTACCGAGGGCTAACTTGAATTTGTTAGTATCCTGAAGAAAGGTCGTATTGAACTTTTGTGATATTGTCCGCCCCATTGTCCTGTGCTTTTTGAGTTTCAATTCATCTTGACGACCAGCAAGTGATGGTCTGATGCTATATCAGCTCCTCTCTTGGTTCTCACGTCCTCTTTAGTCCTTCTGAACGTTTTGTTGATGCAAATATGGTCGATTTGGTTTTGCGTTGTGTGATCCGGTGAAGTCCATGTGGTTTTGTGAATGAGTTTGTGTGGGAATATGGTGCCGCCTACGACCAGTTTATTGAAAGCACATAGGTTTGCAAACCTCTCACCATTTTCGTTCCTTTCTCCCAGTCCTTGTCGTCCCATGATGTCTTCATATCCGGTGTTTTCCATTCCAAATTTAACATTTAGGTCTCCCATGATAATGATCAATTCCGTTGTTGGGCACTTCCCGACGATTGACTGCAGCCTATCGTAGAATTGATCTTTAATGTCTTCATTGTAATCGTTGGTAGGCGCATAGCATTGGGTGACGTTCATTGAAATGCCCTTTGTTTGTTTTGAGTGGAGCTTTAATGATCCTTGGTCCATGAGATTCCCATCCTATATGTGCATTTTGTGTTTGTTTGTATAGCATCAATGCAACTCCTTGTGTATGTGGAGCTTTTCTTCTTTATGACCAAAATATAACAGAACCTACCCTGACGTTAGTTGTTGTTGTCCATTGTGTTTCACTGATCCCAAGTACCTCTAGGTTGTATCTCCTCATTTCTGCAGCAATTTGGAAGGCTCTCCCGGTGTCCCACATTGTACGAACATTCCATGTACCTAAATAAATGGTCGCTCTGGTTGTCAGAATGGGCATCAGCCTCGTAACTTCCGAAGGGATTCGGCTTTCATCATGAGACGTCATAGTTCTTCTAAATGAAGACCTTCTGACTCCCAGGGCAGAGGTTAAAAGGTTTGAATAATTTTTCCTGGTTAGCGTTTTTAGCGAGTTAGTTTTCTACGGGATGGGGACGCTAACCCCATGCCCAACTCTCCTCCTTTATCTGGGCTTGGGACCGGCAGTACCCCCGGAGGTACTACAGGCGGAGTCTGTCTAAATAGGAACTAAAAATAACAGACTTTCAGTACGTTTTCTGAGTTGATTAGAATCCTGAAAGTACAATTACGTGATAAGTAATTACATTATCCAACAATGCACCAATCAAAATGAATATTCAAATATCTTACACAAGCAATAGACGCAGAAACTTACAAATAAGAAACCGAAATCCCCTTTCAGCCGCTTATGCATTATAATAATTTCTATTGAAATTGTGTCAATTATATTAGTGAACGGATTTTTGGAACCGATTACATAAATTAAACATTAACTCAAAATGAAAATTTATTAAGGATGCTTTCAGTGCAAAAGAAATAAGAAACAACTGTTAACGGGCATGTTATTTTCAAATCAGTTCATTAGAAAAAAACGTTTAATATTTTTTTCAAATGAAAGAATAATTACAAAAGTGTACAAACGACATCATTTTTACAAATAACGTACAAATCCTATAATTTTTATTTCCTACGGTAAGGGTTTAAAAGAAGTTCGGAGAATTCTTGAACAGACTTTATTCCTCTTACCTCATTTTCTAATTGAGGTAATTGTATGACATGCATGTCTTCATATAGTTCTAAAATTTGTTCCAGATATTTCGATTGTATCCGATGACGTGCTAAGCACATTCGACAGTTAGATGGAGGTTCATTCGAATGATCCTTAGACGAGGCATCACATGATGATAATAAATTTGGAAACAACAGTTGATTCACAATGACATTGTGGACATCAATATCGTGTGCAGTGAGTTCCTATAAATTTAGAAATAAAATTAGATAAAATTGTCACACATTTTATCCAATAAAACAATAAAATGACAGAAGATTTGGCAAATATCTGGATGATACGTTTGTGTGAAAAACGGAATGAAAGGATTACATTTTTAGTACATCATTATTCTTGTTCAACATTACTTCGGTTTTTAATTCAATATGATTATTATTATTCAGAATAATATTTGTTTTTCTTTCAGTGTGATAGTTTATTCAATACAATATTGACTTATTTCAGTGAGATGTTTATTCACGATTTGATATTCTTTAGATATAAATTAAGGCGAAATATGTTTAGCATGGTACGCAGCATGCGATTTTGTTATAATTTCATTTATGTGACATTTCCCTAATAACTAATTAAATGGGTGTACAAATCAATGAATTTCCGACTAGGGTCATCGAATTTATTTTGCAGTCAGTAAATCTTCACTTTTACCAATCTTCAATGTTCTAACTTGGCGTCGTAGGAATAATAGTGATTCCCCGTTATAAGTATAAGTAATAAGCGACGCGGATGCAACACAAAATAATGAGAAGTGAACTCGGTTATTTAGTTACTCTGAAGAAGTGAATTGGGTTAAGTCACAAAACGTCAAAAATACAATTTTTGGGATATAACAAAAAATATATTTATTATCAACTTTCTATTTGATGCCCAATTTATTTGAAACCGTCCAGCTCAAACTTGGCGTTGATACCTATAAATGAAAAGTGAAGATTGAACATGGATATTTGAAATTATGGACAAAAAATACATCACAAGTATTTCAGGCCAACAAAGAGTAGAGTGAACAAATTACACCGTTAGGCGACTGTTAATGGGAATTCATTTTGGTGCTTGTTGTGACCTCGTACTCAATGCTATGCCTACATCTGTTAATCCATGATAATTTGCCATTGGGTCGTCAGAAAAACAGATGGTGTATCTCATCGGCTCTCTGTTTTAAAAAGGTGAGGTCAAGTAAATGAGCACACTAGGATCCTTATGCGTGCTTCGGAGACACAGCATACATCAATGGTACGAGATTCTAAGGTTTTAGCCAAGGAGGTCTGCTGACCGATTTGACATATTGGGCGTACGTTGAAGGCTTCAATGTGTAGTTTGGAGGGAGGTTTCAGTAGACCTGAGAGTGTTTTGCGCACAAGAATCGTTGGCCATAGCGACATTTGAAGAGGAAGCCAAAAAAGGAAGTTTAGAGTTGGAAGTAGATGTAGGAGGAATAATAGGAATTGAAGAGGAAGATTTATTATGAATACAGTGATCTTGAGTGCTGTTGGAGGCATGAGGACAGATATCACTTCCCAGTTGCCCACACCGCGGAAAGGTTATTCTAGAGGTACCTGAAAAGGAAATTGGATTAGTGGTGACGTTCGTGACCGCAGTGCCCAAAGGACAACTGGTTGAGGTCGGTCACACACGACATTTTTGTGAGTAACATTCGTGTTATTGGAAACCTGTCACCGGAGACGGAATTCTGTGGGATAAGGCGGGATGTGCATTCTTAGGGTTGATCTTTTCCAACCTCACAATTCCTTGTAGAAAGGCAGCATTGCTGTTATGCTGGTTGTCTGAAAGAAACACCTTAATGCCGTCACACCTATGTACAGTCAGCACCACGACTTCACCATCGAACCTTGGGTTTGCTACTTTAGTTTTACCGCACTTCAACCGACCTGTCTGGTATGATAGGACCTTGACGAACGATTGTCCCAACCAGTATGGCTCTATTGGTTCATCACGATAGGCAAGCCCAACCACTACCGTCAACGTAGTAGAAATGGTAGCGATATGCACAGTCACTTACGCCAAATAATCTCAAGAGAATAGATTCCATCACAGACAAATTAGGACCTTGCAGGAGTTTATATAGGCCTAGGTTACTACAGCCAGAGCCAAAAGATGAAGTCCTAAAGCAACATTTTTGATTTGGAGAGTATTCGGAACATGTTGAAATATCGCTAATAGTGTTGAAAAGACTTAAAATTTCTAAATATTTGAGCAAAACATTACTAAAAATGAGGTGGTTTTGAGATCGCTATTGAGTAGAGATTGTTCGGAAGCCACGATATCCCTCTAACAATCAGAGCAACAATTAGTAGATACATGGAATGTCCGGTCAATGTGGAAGACCGAGAGGACCAGTCAAATAGCTGAAGGAACGAGGATATACAACTTGGAAATGATCGGAATAAGTGAAACTCATATGACCCAATCTGGATAAAAAAAACCAGCTTCGAGAGAGCCGCCGCTGTACTCTGATTATGGATAAGAAAAAGCTTCGTACACACAAGGAGTTGCACTTATGCTGTCCAAATGGGCACGAAAAGCACAAATGAGATGGGAGTTCTATGGAACTAGAAAAATCAAAGCATTCTAAACAAAGGAACGGATGATAATATTATCTAGCGCGATACAACCACCAATGATAGCTGTGGAGAAGCACAGAATAAAATAGACAGCTTGCATGCAACTAGACGATTTGAACTTCGCAGATATTTTAGGCCCCCTATCCCATACACAGCAACAAATGAAGGTGAAGACAATTAGCAAGGCAGCAGCCGCTGTAACAGTAGGATTGAACATGTCTGGTGAAAAAAAAGCAAGATTCTGAAAAACAACAGCGACTACCACACACTTGATGGAGAAGTCCTGGAACAGGCGGGAAGTTTTACATAACTGGGAAGCATCATCGATGAAGAAGGAGGATCTGATGCAGACGTAAAGACAAAGATTGGCAAAACAAAGATGGAATTTCCTCAGCCTGCATCAAAGTCAGAACGTTCAATACAAACGTCAAGACAGTTCTATATTACGGCGCGGAAAAGTGAAGAACTACCACAATCATAAAAAATGTACAGGTATTTATGACTAATTGTCTACACAAGATACTCCAAGTAAATTGACTGGATATTATTAGCAACAATCTACTATTCTGGCGGACAAACAAGCTTCCAGATGAAAAGTAAGTTAGGAAAAGACGTTGGAGGTGGATAAGACATACAATTTGGGAATAATTACACTCCAACACGAGGAAAACTCCGCCAGGAGCCCCTCTGAGGCTACTGCCAGCCTGGGTAAAGGAGGAGGGTTGGGCATAGGATTACCGACCCCATCCCGTAGAAAACCAACTTGCTAAAAAACGCTAACCAGAGAAAAAGTATCCAAACCACTTAAACTCTGCCCTGGGAATCAGGTCTTCATTTAGAAGAGTTATGACGTCTCATGGTGAAAGCCGAGTTCCTTCGGAAACCACGACGCTAATGCCCATTCTGACAACCAGAGCGATCATTTATTTAGGTACATGGAATGTTCGTACAATATGGGACACCGGGAGAGCCTTCCAAATTGCTGCAGAAATGAGGAGATACAACCTAGAGGTACTTGGGATCAGTGAAACACAATGGACAACAACAACTAACGTCAGGGTAGGTTCTGTTATACTTTGGTCATAAAGAAGAAAAGCTCCACATACACAAGGAGTTGCATTGATGCTATACAAACAAACACAAAATGCACATATAGGATGGGAATCTCATGGACCAAGGATCATTAAAGCTCCACTCAAAACAAACAAAGAGGGCATTTCAATGAACGTCACCCAATGCTATGCGCCTACCAACGATTACAATGAAGACGTTAAAGATCAATTCTACGATAGGCTGCAGTCAATCGTCGGGAAGTGCCCAACAACGGAATTGATCATTATCATGGGAGACCTAAATGTTAAATTTGGAATGGAAAACACCGGATATGAAGACATCATGGGACGACAAGGACTGGGAGAAAGGAACGAAAATGGTGAGAGGTTTGCAAACCTATGTGCTTTCAATAAACTGGTCGTAGGCGGCACCATATTCCCACACAAACTCATTCACAAAACCACATGGACTTCACCGGATCACACAACGCAGAACCAAATCGACCATATCTGCATCAATACAAAGCTTAGTAGGACGATGAAGGATACGGGAACCAAGAGAGGAGCTGATATAGCATCAGATCATCACTTGCTGGCCATCAAGATAGTCCTAAGTGATAGGTTCCAGGTCATTCATGATCTACTCAATGGAGAGGAGCTGCTATGAAGAGCAACTGGAAAAGGATAAAAGAGGCAACCACTTCAAAATGTCATGAGGTTCTGGACAACAAGAAGCACGACCACAAGGAATGGATCACTGTTGATGCAATGAATACGATCCAAGAAAGGGGAGACAATAAGGCACAAGCTGAATACACAGAAGTAAACAAACAAGTGAAGAAGAGCATCAGAACCGACAAACGTAAATATGTGGAAGGTCTAGCAAAGACGGTGGAAAAGGCTGCAAGAGAAGGAAACATGAGACAACTGTATGACATAACAAAGAAACTCTCTGGAAATCCCCGCAAACCAGAACGACCAGTAAAAAGCAAGGAAGGCGAGGTAATCACTAACATTGAAGAGCAACGAAACAGGTGGGTAGAACACTTCAAAGAACTCTTGAATCGACCAGCTCCACTGAACCCACCCAACATCGAAGCAGCACCCACAGACCTCCCAATCGATGTTGGCCCACCAACAATTGAAGAAATCAGCATGGCCATCAGACAAATCAAGAGTGGCAAAGCAGCAGGACCAGACTACATTCCAGCAGAGGCACTAAAAGCAGACGTAGCGGCAACTGCAAGGATACTCCACATTCTCTTCAATAAGATTTGGGATAAGGAACAAGTACCAACAGAGTGGGAAGAAGGACTCCTGATCAAAATACCGAAGAAAGGCGATCTCAGCAAGTGTAATAACTACAGGGGCATCACTCTTCTCTCAATACCGGGAAAAGTCTTCAACAGAGTATTATTAAACAGGATGAAGGACTGCGTAGACGCCCAACTTCGAAACCAACAGTCAGGATTCCGTAAGGATAGATCGTGTACAGACCAAATCGCAACTCTACGGATCATTGTGGAACAATCAATTGAATGGAATTCATCACTCTAC